GGATCTACATATAACCTCCTCCCTGTGGGACGGACAACAGAAAGTAGGTGAAGGGAGACATCGGATATTATAAGATATGACAAAATAATTTATAAATTATCAAGGGTTCATGGAGCGGGGAGGGAGGGGGAAAATGAGCTGATGCTAGGGGCTTACATGGAGAGCAAATGTTTTGAGAACGATGAGGGCAACAAATGTACAGATGTGCTTTACACAATTGATGTATGTATGCATTGTGATAAGAGTTGTATGAGCCCCCAATAAAATGATTTATAAAAAAAGAGAGAGAATTTTATATCACAGAGCAATTGTACATTAAGAAAACATCCCAGCCCAGTCCAGATCAAGTCCATAAGTCCGATATTACCCCATGTAGAGATAGTAGTGTATAAATACTCTTTAGACTCAAGCAGCACATACAATGATGCTGAATGCAGGAAGATCACAGGCCAGTGGGTGGAAAGTCTTGTGGATTCAGTGGTGATGGAAACATCTCAGTGCTGGCGTGGGTCACCATGTGGCTCCTCCAACTCCCGGGCTCTGGCTCTATCACCATAGCTCCATGTGGCTTGTCAACAGGACTGTCTCTCAGAGAGCGGGGTGTGTATCTCACCTCCAAGGAGGAAGACCGGAGTTCCCAGAATCCTCAGGAGGCCATGCCCATACAGAGACTTCATTGGCTGTGACATGATTGACAGGCTAAACTCCACCCCTTTGCAAATTGACAGATTATGTACCTACCACAGTATGGGTAGGGGCTTTAGCACCACCCCCAACACCTTCCCTGATTGTTTCAGTGAACCTCAGGGCAATAGGGCAGTATCGCCCCCTTTGGGAAACTTTGCTATAATGGAGTTACTATGAGTTAGAATCAGTTTGATGTCAGTGGGTAGGAGTCAGTGCTCTTTAAACTTCTGCGCCTGTTCTCTGCCTCTATTCTCCATGCTGTGCTGCACAGTAAGCAACCAGGATATGGGGAATCATGGAGTAGGAGAATGGGTTTGAGAACAAACCTGACGCAGGGCTGGCTCAAGACTCTTCAAGAACTTCATCTCTGAAATGCATTAAGGTGCCACTCCCATCACCCCCACCCCCCTCATCCTCAGCTCCACCTCCACCAGTATGTCATTTGCAAACATTACTCCAGTGAAAGAATTCCAAGGAAGTACCAAACCTCAGGGTTTGCCCCTGTTACTGCATTGATTTTGAGTGCTTTTCTGTCGTGGTCATTTCCCGCCTAAGAAGAACTTTGTTTCTGTGTAGGTACACACTTCTGCTTTTATCCCGAGTAAGCCTGTGCTTAGTCGTCCTATTGAGTAACAGGGCCTGTCTGGGCACTTTTAAAACTACCTGTCTTCCTTAGCTCAGGTTGCTATGGCAGAAATATCACAGGGGCTGGCCTAACCCACAGAACGCGAGGTCTTACAGTTTACACGACACGGGAAGCCTGAATCCAGGGGGCCCACTCTAAGGTAAGACTTTCTCTTTCTGTCTATTGTCAAGGTAGGGCTATGTCCCTTAGAGCTTGTGCTTCTGGGTAATCTTTCTTCATGTGAATTGGTATTTCTCTTTTCCATCTCTTCTCACTCCCTTGCTTGTCGAATCTCTTTTAGAGTGCACAAAGGGGACTGATTCAAGATGCACCCTACACTCACCCTCCCTTGCTGCCAGGGCAAAGACAACGCAGTCCTAAATGGGATTATAACAGCGGACATAGAGGTTGGAGGAGGGGAGGGATATATTATTAAAGACGCAAAGCATATTTCTTAAGTCCAACGAATTTGGGAGGAATACAATTCAATCTGGCTGTAACTACCAAAGACCTTGGTGACTCCTCAATTCTGAGTACATCAAGCTGAGGACAAATCAGATCTAAGGTCTCCATTCCAAAACAAGAGGGAGAGAACTGTTCAGGGAGACACCACTTGCTTAGGACAAAGGGATTTTCCAACCTAATGTGCAGGCAAGTGTTCCAAGGTGTGGAACAAACCGAAATCCAGGGGCTTCCTTTTCCTACTCCCTCCTGTATATAAAGTCACCAGGGTGTTGGGTTTTAGAGAAGAACCTGTGCTATCAATGGCTCACAGCCTTGATTGTGCATCATCAGCCTTTTATAAGCATAGATTTCAAATCACACCTTGGACACCCAGAAATAGACCCTTGGGGTTGTGACAGGTTACAACAGAGGCTGGATTATTCCATCCCAATATACCAAATTTGAATGACTGAGGAATTTCCACAGGCCAACACATATGGACTCAATCACATCCTACATCCAGTTAAGGTTTCAACGTGTGGCATATTGCAGTAATCTCTTTCATTTTCAATTTCCTTCCTTCGTGCAAAACTAATGTGTTTTTCTCCCCTGGAAGAATAATGTGCTTTAGTTCCATTCCCTTGCTCTACAGCAATCAGCGTTTGACCAGCTTAGACAGGTCTCAGGAGTTGGAGCACAGCAGACTCCCGTGACTTCGAGTTAAAGCCAAGAGCAAGGAGCATCAAGCAGAAGACCTGAACCTGAGGAACGAGCTGCCTGGTGCTGCTCACCGTCCAGCAATAAGTAACAGTACCTCATCCAGAAGCCTTTCCCTTCATCCTTATTTTG